ATAATGTGCCCGAAGCACATAACAACACCTCAACCCACCTCAAAGCCAACGCTGATTGGACGTTTGTTTGGTGAACGGCTCCAAATTTTCTTTAACGGAGAGTCTCCAGACTGATCTGCGAGTGAAACCTTGAAAGCTCGTGAGATCATGATGGTCTCACGTAGCTAACTGTGTACTATCTATTTATCTATTTATTTATATGGTACCCTCCCTTTTTGTTCATATTTCTATCCGTTTTCTCATCAGTGTGTAAGAGTCGAGGTCGTTCTCGCCATGAAGGTATTTCTCAACATACAGTTTGGTGAAAATGAGGACGAGCACGTCGGACAGCCTTACGTAAACTTTTCACCAGAAAGACTGACAATTAGGAGGACCACTTATTTTGATGATCCACCTGGAAAAACAACATCCTGCACTATAACTTTAAGTTATTTTTTTCTGGTTAAGATTTAAGTATTGTTAGATTTAGTTGACCTCTTTTATGCTGATTTATTTTTTTATTGTTTTGGATTTTGTTCATTTTTGGGTCAATTAAGCCCAGAAATTTTAAATTAACTCCTGTGTCCCTTTTGCCTTACTGCTTGGTCTCTGATGATACCTTAATTGTTTTACTTTGCAAAAATCTACTTAAGAAGTTTGGACATTGTTTCTTGGAAACCAGGCCTCTGCCTGTCCAGCTGAAGAATACAGGCATCAGTGAAGGTCTGTGGTTTTACTTCAAGGCCTCTAGTGGAGATGGAAGTGATCAAGGCAATTTAGAAATGTTTGGGTGGAGCAGAGCCGTGGAAAAGGAGCGTTAGAATATATTGCTTTTATTATGTTCTTATTTGATAAAGAGAAGTAACACTATCTCCTCGCAGATGTTTTGGATCCTCCATGTTTTAGTCTGGAAGCCTAAATTTCTTTAAATGACCGGCTGATTCCCAAATGTTTGCAGATTTTATGGTGTGTTTGTTTTTGCTTTTTTTTACTGACAGCAGGCAGAGACTCTGGGATGTGTGAATATTGCTGCAGCAAACAATTCCAGTTCTGACTTTTTCCGTCTGGCACATTCAGAGCTGTGAAATTGAGTGATAGAAGAGGAAATTGTCTTTCTCTGGTTGATGGAAATAAAAATCTTGGTAGAGACTAGAGTAAAGGCTGCACTGCTGAAAAGGAGAATCCTTTCCCGTGAATTGGCAGATGTTACAGGAGGTGTTTGCTCTTCGACTCTGGGTAAAATTTGAACTCTCTCTGCTCTGGTCTGTGGGCTCCATTAGAACCAAAACCTGAGCTTGATGCCCCCATTCTTAATGGATAAAGCCTCCGTTTGGACAATAGAAACAGCCTGGATGTGGATGATCAGCTCAACACTCTGCATTTCAGGATTTTAAACAATGCAAAACATTAAAATCTAAATAAGTAATTTTATTTTCTTAAAATAAGTGAATTTTTTCATGAATTTAGGAGGTGAGACAGGTTGACAATGGAACAAGACAATTGACATTTAAAATAAGAAAAAGCAATTCCTTGTCATATTTTAAGTGCATAATATCTATTTCTCTTACCTTAAGAGTAAATAAACCTTCCATTGGCAGATCATCTTATTTACCTACTCAAATTAAGGGTAAATGCACTTAACTTTTACTAATTTTTGATCGTTTTTACAGCGAAAGCAGACTGAACTCTAACTCCTGTTTCTTTGAAGGAGAAGGGTTACACAGTGTGATCAGTGACAGGTCTGTTCTAGGACTTCTATGTCTGGAAGCAGAAGCAGGTGGTGGAGATGATGAGTCCTGTGTGGGTTCGGCCGAACAAGCAGAAAACTGCTGGTTTTAGAGGATCATTTCAAATTAAGACGCTGAGGTTCGCAGCAGTACGCTGCAAAAACCTTCTGGGAATGAGTGAAAAAGTCCTAAAAATAAGTGTATTTACCCTTAATTTGAGTGGTAAATTTGATTATTTGCCAATGGAACGAGCTTTTTTTACCCATAAAATACAATTAGTAGATATTATGCACTTGATATAAGAGAATGTAATATGTTTTTCTTATTTTAAATGTAAATTGTCTTGTTCCATTGGCAACATGTCTCATCTAACTTGTCAGGATTTGGTTATGGATTGTTGACCCAAAAGCAGAGGCAGGAAGGCAGAGGTGAATTTCTTTAGATTTAACGAAAGGGAAACTGAAAACAAAGGCAGGTTATCCAAGTCCAAACTAACATGAAACCAGGAGTCCAAATATCCAAAAGAATCAAACATAAAACTAGTCAAAACGAACCAGAAACCATGGAGACATCAGGGGAATCACTGTCACAAGGAGGAAGACTCAGGAAGACGGAGTTGGAGGAAGTTTGATGAAGTTAGGCAGTGTTTGACAAGGACCCAGCAAAGGGGAACTGAAGAGAGAGGGCTTTTAAAGCAGTCTGAGACAAAGAGGGGGCTAATGAGGAAACTGGGAGCAGGTGTGCACAGAACAAGAGAGGGAAAGAGCTAGGGAAGAAGGAGAACACAAGAGGGCAGCAGAGAGCAACAAGTAGAAACCTGGAAGACTGGAAATAAAAACAAAATGTTAAATTACTAGGACTATAAAACATGGAGAAAAGAAAACTAAACATTCAAAAGAAACCATAACAGAACCCAGACTAGGACAGTAACTGGAAAAAAAAAACAAAGAAAATAAAAATAAAACCACTAGCACTAGAAATCAAGGAGTAAAGCAAGACTGGACACTCAAAAGAAAAACATAACAGAAACAGAAACCTGACATAACTGCTCAATTCAAGAAAAAAAAATACACTTATTCTAAGATTAAGTGACTGAGATTAAAATTTTTGCTTTGTAGAATTTTTTTTTTTAGGACCTCAAGGTTCTTAATCTTTCCTCTAATTTAATTTGAGTTAGTTGCCAACCAGTAACTGAGGGTCATTTGAGTTTTGATGGATGGTAAAAAAGCCACACATACAACAAAAATATTTCACAGTTTTATTTACTCCAAATTTTCTTCCATAGTCATCAGGTGATGGGAAATCTTGAGGGATCTCTGATGCATTCACGTACAGAACTTTTCAGTTTGGACAGCACCATATCTGCATGACCAGCAGGTAGTTGATGGACTTCTACTCTAAAACAATCAATAGAAAATGTGGCTAAATGAGCTCAGGAGGAGGATCCATCTTGGTAACACTGCAGTTAATGATGGCAGAAGAGAGAAGAAGAAAATTCCTGATTTAAAGAGTCCTGACTCATACGAAGCTGCTACACAGATGATCTAATGGCATTATCTACAAATCTGTAGGGATATTTATGCTGATGTTCTAACTGTATGCTGATGTCATCCCTTCAGATCTCTGCCTCTTCCACTGCCAAGCTGTGTTCATTTAGGATTAGATCATTTGCTGTAAACAGTACCCACTAATGCTGCTCCTGTTGGGGCTGTTTTAGCATCAGTGGAGGTTTGAACTCTTTCGCTCTGAATTTTATTAGTCATTAGTGACCTACTGCTCCTGTATATTTTGTCTAATGTACCACACTGAGTTTCAGAGACTCTCGGTATTAAGATACTTTCTGAAACGCAGCTGAAAGTGTGGAGAGAAAGGGGGAAGACCCACAGTAATCATCTACTTCTTCCTGCGGAATAATCCAGTCTGGAATCCATAGTTCTCCCTCTGGATGGCTGGATTGATCCCAAGAATATTTGACTCTGAAAAATAGAAGCAGTGCTCTATTTCCAGTCACCCATGCTTTTCAGTATATTTCCTCGGCCTCGCCTCTAACTACCCTAAAAATATCAGATTGAACAGGGGAGGTACCTCTGCCTTTGCTTCAACAAGCTGGACATTCGTCCCCTGTTTTGTTTTCCCGTCTGAAGCCCCGGTCACACCTTCACGATTTGGACCAGCGTTTGCCTGAGGTACGAAAAATCTGGCAAAAACGCTGCCATTCGTTAAGATAAGTTATAGGTACGTTTTGTATGTTATGAGTACATTGAAGCACACTTAAACACATCGACATACGGCAAGTACTTAAGCAAATTTGAGCATGCTAAAAATTTCTTGATGTCTGCCACAAGAGGGCCATAAGTTACAGGTACGCTTTGATTATATTATAAACACGCTGAAGTACGCTGAAACACGCTGGCATATGTAG